CATTCCTGCCTTTGGCGTGAGCCAGGCTCTGCAGGCACCCGGGGACGTGCACACCCAGCACCTTCTCCTCCTAGCAGGACTATCAGGCTACCTTTAATAGACTCGTATTTAATATTTAACAATGTTATGATCAGCAGGATAATTGTCTTTTTTTTTTTCCATCTCAGTATAGTTACTGTAAGGTCTCTGACGTGTTTGGTGTCTGATAGCAGCATTCGTGAAGATGCCAAACACTTTCTGAACAAGCCTCTGACTTTTCAGTCCGAGGTGCCTCATTTTAAAAAGCGCTGGTGTCAACGATTACATTTATAACTCTGCTGTGCTGTACAAACACGGTGAGAAAGAGACTGTTCAAAGAGGCTGCAGTTTGCAGACCCCGGTGCCTCCTGTTCAATCCACTTAATTCCATTTGTCAACATGAATCGCAGTACACCCTACACCGATCCTTCCATGCTATTTAAATGTTTCTCTGTCCATTATTCACGAGAACGAGTCCCTCATTCTTTGCGCACTGCTGCCCGCGTGTTGTGCTGTTGCATCCTCCTGCGGAGGTGGGTGGCAGAGGAATGATTCCATGCTGGGATCAACCGCAGGGGCTGCTCCCGCTCCCCCGAGCATCCCCGGTGCTGCCTGTGCCGCAGAGGAGCAGCCGGAGAGCCGAGGTGCTGCTGCCCTGGCGCTTGTGCAGATGCACCCCCGGCATGGCTCCTGCCCGCAGTGCTGGGGTTCGTCAGCTGCTGATCAGGCAGGATTTGTGCAAGACTCGGCTTCCAGCTTGAGTGCCTGGGCTCAGGCATGGTGAGCGGGTGTGCTGCCCGCAGCATCGCTGCCTGTCTATGCGGCTTTGCCCGTGGTTTGGCCGGGTTTGCTGGAGCTGACCTGGGTGCCATCCTCTTGGGGCAACACGGGCACCCAGATTTCGGGGCTGTGGGAACATCCACAGAGCCACCACTGCTCCCATCCTTGGCAGGTCACCCCAGACCCCCAGCTCATCCCGCTCAGCCTCGCCGGGGTGCAGCCAGGGCAGTGTTGGGGTCTCCCTGCGGCTCTCAGCCCCCTCTCACCCCTCCGCTCCTCCTCCCCGTTTTTCAGAACATGCCAAACGTTCGCGATCATGACGCCTCGGTGTATCTCCGTCTCCAAGGCGATGCCCTTTCCGTGGGTGGATATGAGTCAAACCCCATCTTCTGGGAGGAGGTGAGCGGTGCCGGGAGGTTTTCCAGGGGAACGAGGCAGGTTTCCAGGGAACCCACCTTGCAGGGGTGGGCGCAGGCGTGGGCACCTCAGCTCCTGGCTCCTGCGGGTACCAACCTCCGTGCAGCCGGTGGGGAAAGCACAGGACAGCATCCGCCCTTTGGGTCTGGCTGTGGCGTAGGTATATAGAGGTGCAGAGGCAACAGGAACGAGATGACAGGGCTGGGGGGCATTGAGAGGCCACCGTGCAGTCCCTGCCCTGCTGCTTCTTCTCTTTATCCAGGTGCAGGTGTCTTAACTTGGGCTCTGCCCCAGACCTTTGGTGTGGCCGGGCTGTTCGTGAAAATCCAAAGAAACCAGAGTCTGCAAAGCAGCCTCGATTTTCCACAGTCTCCAAGGCTGCCAGAGCTGAGAAGTTCTCACACCCTCAGCTGCACTCTGCTTTGTGTCCCTCCTTCAGGTATCGGAAAAGTTTGCTTTTGGCCTCTTTGATCTGGACTGGGATGTTTTCATGCAACACATCGAAGGTGCCATCAACAGAGTACCGGTGCTGGAGAAAACAGGCATTAAATCCACCGTCTGCGGGCCAGGTAATGTTGGCAGCGGTGGCACCATGGCGGCTGCGTTCCTCCAAGGATCTTGCTGGGGGGCAAGGGGAAACTTCATAACCTGGGGAGAAGAAAAATTCTCTGAATGCAGAGAAAGCGAGCGCCTGTGGTCTGTCTGGCTGCAATGGTCTCGTCTTCCGAGGGGTGGCATCCCAGGCTTAGCCTAGGTGGAGGAATACCCGGGGAGCTTGTTGCCTTGGTCCAAACGGGGGGCTGGCTAGCACAGATTTACAGCCGATGTTGTGGCCACTGGAATAGGGAATTAACGGGCAGATTGTTTTTTTCAAGCAGTGGCCATTGTTTTACCAAGTGTTATATTATTATTTTTACTACTTGCTTCTGGGCCGATGACATTAGATTTAACCAGATTTACATCACAGGCTGTCTGGTGTGGAGCTAAAGGCCATAGCATCGCTGCGGTGGCAGCTGGCGGTGATGCCAGCCATCGAACCCCAGCCCTGCACACTTCATTTGGCCTTGAAATCCACCACATGCTATAAAAGAAAAATATTAAATATTCCCTTTTTTGCTGAAGCACTTGAAAGGAAACCCTCGACGCCCTCGGGGAGGGAGCAGTGCTGCTGTACAAGGGGAATGTGGGGCACGTCTCCTGCCCCGCAGCAGATAAAACATGCCACGTACAAGGTGGAGGCTTTGGCCCTGGGTTAAACTGTGGTGTAAGCAGAGCTGGTGGCCTCCGGTGGGGAGCTGACTTCTTGTAGATAAATGTCTAGTATCTGTAGCACAGTAATGTCATTTCCGAAGGGTCAGCGCTCCTCCTTTTCTGCTTTTTGATTTAAACCAGCAGCTGGTTTGCTTGCGACAGCTGAGTCACGCTGGGCTGAAGCAAATAGCAAACACTTGTCCCTTCTGCTGCGCGGTAAATATTTCAGCACCAGAACAGCTTCAGGGACCAGAACAGCAGGGGACCAAAGCGGACTGAATCGGGGTGGTTTAAGCTGTTTCTGCTCAGACTGCTGATCCAGCCCTGCAGCCGAGCGAGCCAAGGTCCCGTATGAGCACTCAGCATCCGTCCCAGTGCAAAGGCAGCAGGGCTGGCGTGCACTGCTGGTGAAGGGGCGGTGCTCTGGGTGGTGTTCCGTTAACTCAGCCAATTTGTAGCCTGGTGTATCCGTATGGGGATGTTGGCATGTGAAGAAACTGCTTTGATGAAGGTGGAAATATTATTCTGGCTCTGCTCTTGCCGTCTCCTGAGCACAGAGATCACGGGAAACAAGCTGGGCATTGTTGGGCAGGGGAAGGACCGGACTGAAATCTGTCTTCCCTCTCTCCTTTCACACGGGTGGATGAACCACCATGAAACAGGGAGGAGGATCGCACACCTCTGTCAGGGTGTTTTGCTCTGTCCTCCGTAGCGGGGATTTGCACAGGGACCCTATGGGGAGCTGCAGCTGGCAGCACGAGACATCATTAGCGCAGGAGCCTTGGGCGACAGCAGCAGCAATCCCTCAGCTGAATGAAGTAGCTTAAATTCATGAAATTTCCCAGCAGAAATCGATGAAGGTGAAATATAATCATCATAATGAATTACGGCCCAGATGTTGAAGAGGCAACAAAGAGGTCGGTGCAACCCCCTTGACTGGGGGATTGAGAGGAAGAAAGAGGCTGCTGCAGCCACGGCAGTGCCTCGGGCACCTTCTGCTTGGGGAGTCATTCCGCTTCACAAATGTTCAGTCCAAACCCTAACGCTGAGGTTCCTCAGCGAGCGCTGCCGAGCTCCCCGGGGTGCGGAGGGCACAGTTACCCCGAGGCCGGGGTCTCGTCGGTGCAGGGACAGACTGTCCAACGCTCAGGGCTGCAGTGGAGCTGCCTCGTGCCCCCAGCGCCTGCCTCTGCCACCGACAGTGCGATGGGCGTATGTGTGTGTGTGTGCATGCATGTATACTCATGCAAGCGTCTGAAACAAATATATGTCTATATATGTACGTATATTTGCTTCAGGAGCCTGCACAAGACACCTGCGTGATGTTGAGCATCCCAGTACCAGGGCAGCCTTCCCTTTGGCCTCTGCTGCCTGGGCGTTGTTGGAGAGGTGCGGGTGGGGGATGCCCGAGCTGAGATGCTGGGAAGTGCTCAATGTTGGTCCAGTTCTGGCCCCATCGACCTCTCTGGGAGCAGGAGCAGACAAAGGCCAGCATGGGAAGCTGTAGGAACCCCGCTCCTAAAGTGTGTGATGTGTCCCCAAAACGCCTGTCCTGGCCTCGCTGGCACATCCCCCTCTCTGTCTTGCAGAGTCGTTCACGGCTGACCACAAGCCACTCATGGGGGAAGCTCCAGAGGTCCGAGGCTTCTTCCTTGGCTGTGGCTTCAACAGCGCCGGTAAGAGACACCTGAAGGGATCCCACCTCACGCGTCCCAATGCGGTCGTACCCTGGGCAGAGCCCAGCACCCACAGCCGCACTTGGCCTCCTGGCCTCATCCGGATCCTCGCCTCTTCCCCCAGGGATGATGCTGGGAGGCGGCTGCGGGAGGGAGCTGGCCCACTGGATCATCCACGGGCGGCCGGAGAAGGACATGTACGGCTATGACATCAGGCAAGTCAGCCCAGCTGCCCCAGGTCCCTGTGGGCTGGGGGGTCCTTGGCTGATACCCCTCATCCCTGGGTGGTCCTTGGGCACGGGTTTCACGGCAGGGCTGGATGCTGGCATGGGGGGTGGGTGTCCGGGCAGTGTCCGTGCCACAGCCTGTGTCCCTCCGAGGAGCTGGAATCAATTACGCTCAATGGCTTTAATGAATTTACACATGAGGTTTATCTCATTTGCCTCATTCCGCTTCTGCGCAAACAGCTTCCATCAGACATGAGGAGATTGCGGTGATGGGAAAGGACAGGGTAATTACGTTTGGGTTTTGTTGTTGTTCAATTAGTGCTGTGCTTAATCCTCTAAGTTAATAATCGAGGGTGACGATTTCAACAGAAGGATTAGCTTCCTCCCCCCGATCTGCAGCACGACATGGGCCAGGAGTTTTGACTGTGCAGATGTTGGCTCTGTAATTGCTTTTGACTTGTTTGATTATATTTGATTGAGTTTGGGCTTTCTTATAGGGCTTCTAGCGACAGCAACCACCTTGTCAGGGACAAAGCTTTTAAAATCATATTGCTTTAGTGGCAAAGCTGGTAAACACCCCATCGACTCGGGCTGGGAGGAGAGAGGACGGTGCTGGTGCCTGCAGAGCTCAGTGGGAGATGCCTCCCGCAGCCAGCAAT